TGTATGAGTCGTACGATTTTTGAATCAAGCACGGGCAATGCTAGTTCCTAATATTTCTTCAATCTCACCTGAACGAAGAATACGCTTTGCAGGACGCTTTTGGCGAACAAAACAAGAATTTCAAGTGATCTACTGCTATGGACACCTAGCCATGGTGCAATACAGGTTAGACGCCCAGAAACCACTTTCATTGACCAATTATATAATATCACACATAAACACCATAATGACCTTCCGAACTTGATACAGAACAGTGATGGTCGGCCTGATACATTTGTGAAGTTCCTTGATTGAATAAAAATTTACGACTGGCTTCAAAAAATTGAGACAACTGTCCACAATTAACTAAAGCGAATTAAAAGAAACGTAAAGAAAATTTACAGTGATGCAGCTTTGGGGACCTGAAGAATTGCCGAAAGGCCATAGGGAGCCAAATCCAACGCGAACGCAACTACAGGAATATTGTGTCGCGAGAATCTTTCAATCATAGATACCCTTGCTAGCTGAAAAAGCATTATCCAAATATCTGACTCTTATCTCAGCTTGAACCTTAAGCAATGGCATCGGTGGATTATGCGCAAATATTTTATGCAGAACTAAGCTGTCCAATTCCTACATTAAGCGCACAAGCTTAGATTACTACCGTGTATTTCCGCTTGTGTTGATCGCAGTATTTGGACACTCAGAAATTACATCATTAGGGAAAACTTCTCCAAAACCAAAATTTTGATTTCACTGTACCCCAGACTTAGATTCACTTAGGCTGACACAAGGCTAAAACAGTTGTGTTTTATTCAATGAGGATCGGGCAGAGTTCAATAACTATATGGCCTGTGAGAAGAGTTGATTAACCATTTCATCATTGTAAATGTCTGTAGTACAAGGCTTATAAAAAAATGTATACGCTCTCGTTCTTTATTATCCTGTGATCTATAGAAGCATTATGTGTACTGCAGCCACAGTGGAAGTGTTGAGCAAAATAACCTGACGGAGCCTAACCCTCCCCAGGCCGGTCTTGAATTCCAAGATTTTCTTTCTCCTAGATCGGTTGTCATTCAAGTTATAGAGTCCAATCTTTCCTGTTATTTATCTAGAAGGGAGAAGAGGGGGATTCATAAAATGGTTATTAGCACGTAAGTGAATGTAATGGATCCGACTGGAATTAGAACTCTCCAATTCCTCAATCTAAGCCGCTACCCTGTTTTTGTATTGGCAGTAATCAAATTAAAGCTTATATTTCCAATAAAAGTAGGTTGATATCCCTTTGTTATTTTCAAAACTACAGAGAAGGATCCAACATTTAATACGTCTGTGTTTTTGCTATATATAGTTTTTTTTTATTTCTCTTTGTTCATTTATTTTTGTGGAGATTCATTTTTTTCCCTAAAATAAAATCCTCAATTGTTTTATCATCATTTTTATTGTTTCTTTCCTTCTTTTGCAGTATTTAATTTTTTTCTCATATCATTCTTATGTTTTTTCCTTATTGATTACATTCATTCCCCTCTTTTTCTTTCAATTCTAAATTCGTGTACAGTTTCTTTTTTTCTTACTTCCTCTTCTCCTTTTTCCTATTTCTTCTTCTTCTTCTTCTTCTTCTTCTTCTACATCCTCTTATTATTATTACCCCCATTCTTCTATAGTTTCTCTTTGTCCTTCTCCTTAGCCTCTTTCTCTTCCTCTTCTTCCTTCTCCTCCTGTCTTCTCGCTCTTTTATCTTCCCGCCAATCCATTTTAACATCTTCACCCAACTTTTCGTCTTTCTTTCATCGGTCTTTTGATGATGTCTTTCGGCACCTAAAATAAATAAGGGGAGATAACCGGCTACAGACGCCGTGGACATTCCCGGTAATAATTGTATTATTTTGGTGCTCAGCGCCGATTTCTCAGCGACCATGGCCGCTTGATAAATATCAGTGAGATCGCAATCAGTTATTGTATGATGTTTAATTTTGGGATATCGATTACGACGAAATCAAATTAGTGAAACATATTGAAATAAATTTCATGTCCCACCAAAAGATCCAAAGATACATTCGAAAACAAAATTCCACACAGACACAGAAACACACACACACAGATGCGCGCGCGGAGACACCAGAAGACACACAGAAAAAACACGTACATATACGCACACACACAATCACACTCATATTCTAAACGTCACATAAAGGTTATTTTCAACTTCGAAGGATCGTCATGAATTTCTATCGATTATAGACATTCTCTGTCAGTTTTTGCAA